GTGTGTCCAGAGTTGATGGAGAAAACATCCCAGGGGTGCTCAGTGTCGATGATATGGATCATGTGACTCACATCTGGAAAACAGAACATCAAGTTCAGCGTGTGTTTGTGTGTTCGCCTGTGTGTGTGTGCGTGTGTGTTTGTGTACTCTTGTCGTCGTCCTCGCTCTTCAGGTCTGTGGTGAAGGCCACGAGGTTCCTGCAGGACCAGGAGCAGACCAGCGGGATGGAAGGGCAGTGCGTGCTCTTCGGACGCTTCTCCCACTCACACACATAGGCCAGTTCCATGATTCCACCACAGAAGAAGAATCTAGATCCCAGGTGGATGCGTCACCTAAAAAACAGACCAGTCAGCTGCTCCAATCACTTAAACACCGATTACTGACCTGTTTGTGTGGATAGAGCAGAGATGAACATGAGTGATCAGACCTCTGCCTTACCACTACATGTGTCAGACAGATGCATGAGCCACGGGCTCTCCAGTGCCACCTTTACCTGAAGTAGTGGAAAGTAAAACTTTCAAAGGGGACAGCACTACAGATATGTGAAAAAGCAAAGCACAAGTAGAAGGACAAAAGAAAGAAAAGGAACACACATGCAAAGAAGAAAGCTCTTAAAACATGCGGTTGTCCCCACTGGACCTTCATCAAATCAGCAAAGATGCACAGAAAAGAAGGTCAGACACCAACTAGGGAGAATAAGAAGGACAAAGGGGAACAACACTGTAGTCCCGTATGTAGCAGGTTTATCATAGAGGCATCCCAGTGTACTTCAAACCCAGCCACACACTCAGACACAAACTGGTTCAACCCAAACACAAACTAAACAACAGTGTATGCTGTGCAGTGCCGTGCTGCAAGGAAAGCTCAAACCTGCACACAGAAGAGGGACTCAGCTGTACATCTGCATCTAAAAGTCAAAGGTCACTCTTTTGAGGATGCCAATGTTCACATTTTTACAAAACCGACTATTTCCATCCAGATTCACACCTTGGCTCAGGTGTCCTCAACAGGTCACATGATGGGCTGGGGCAACATCTCACAGTGGTTTCACCATTAAACCCCATTGATGGTAATGAGCCCCACCTTCTTTCATACCTTGGTTCTGGTGTTGACTCACATGATCACTAGTGGGTAAATGACCCAGGATCACCTCTAATGGGGATTAAACACCTGGGACCCTCCACTTTAATTTGTAGAACTGAAGAAGCCTGTTGCACGAAACGTCTTTACAAACTTAAAGCAGTTCAGCTGCTTCTTTTTCAAATTGAACATCAAACTGTTCACCCAGGCCGTGCCAAATAACACCATAGTCACAGTACTCAAAGTACTCAGTCACAACAGTGAATGAGCAGCCGCACTAGCCTCTAGCGTTAGCTCACCTGAAGGTTTTTCGCTTCTGTCACGCAGATGAGAATGAAAATTAGCCGTTTTCCTTTTCCTGTTTTTAAGGCTGTTTAATATTAACTTAAAGTAATTAAAACACCAGACTTGAGTTAAACTCAGCGCTTTTTGCTTGCTGCTGTTAAAAACAAACCGCTCTCTGTTAAAAGGATGTGGGGACCCCGTGGCTGCCTCTACAGCTGCCTGACTATAAAACACTGACGGGACCCCGAAGCTCTACTCAAACAGCGTCACGGCGAGACGTTTAAGCCGCATGTCATATAAACGTGTTTGTCTGTGAGATGACTGATATAACCTCTGTGATCAGTATGATATCGGCCCTGTGCGACGAACCGGCT